GGTGAGCTTGAAAACAAAATGTTGGAGAACACACAAATAGAAAAGCAAAGAGAAAAAAAGAATTAAGAAAAATGAAAATGATATATGAGCCCTTTGGGCTACCTAAAGAGAAGTAACATCTGTATCATGTGATCCCAGAGAAGAGAAAGATAGAGGTATAGAAAATATGTTTAAAGAAATAATACTCAAGAACCACCTCAGTCTGGGAAATAAACCAGACATCATGATCTAAGAAGCCCAAAGAGTACCAAACAAAATAATAGACAAAAGAACACATTGTAGGGCCTCCCCTGGTGGCGCAGCGGTTGAGTACTGGGTTGCGAGGCTGCCCACAGCCTCTGCAGCGCCAGTTCGATCCCCTGACACTGGCGAGGGTCCCATCAAAAAAAAAAAAAAAAAAAAAAAAAAAACAGAACACATTGTAATAAAACCGTTGAAAGTCAATGACAGGGACAGAATTCTGAAAACATCATAAAAGGATAATTAAGAAAACACCAATTAGACTATCAGCAGGCTGTTCAGTAGAAACACTACTTGCTAGTAGGAAGTGGCAAGAGATATTGAAAGTATTTAATGAAAAAGATTTCCAGTCTAAAAATCATTTATTGAAGTGAAAATAACATACAAGATAGAAAGAAGGGTATGGAGGTATACTGACACAGAAAAACTAAAAGAACTTATCAACACCAAGCTGTATATGAAAGAAATTAAAGGGGCTATTTATAAAGCAACAGGATAACAGGCACCTATGTTGTATAACATGGAAAAGGAGGAGAGTAACAATGTGGCCAATCAGAATGAGTTTGAGACCACACTGTCCAATGTGTCACAAAAACAGTCCATCATAAACTAATCTCAGTAGTATTCAAACAAAAAAATTAATAGGAGTAAACACATGAGATGATGGAAATTGAACCTAAATAAAACATAAAAGGTCTGAAAAATAAGAAAAGACACTAAACAAAACAAAGCAAAAATGGCAATGAGCACTTATGTGTCAATAATCACTTAAATAGGGCCTCCCCGGTGGCGCAGCAGTTGAGCACTGGGTCGCGAAGCTGCCCGCAGCCTCTGCAATGCCCGTTCGATCCCCAGCCGACAGGTGAGGGTCCCACATGGCGCGCAGACCTCTCCTGCCACCCGCTGCTCCCCTCAGCAGTGTACTTCGGTCCTTCTGCCTGCTCTGCTCCCCGCTCTGGCTCTGGTGAATTCTCTCACCCTCCTGCGCTTCTGACTGTACCCCAGTGTTTGTATAGATAAATAAATCTTCAAAAAAAAAATCACTTAAATATAGTCTGAATTCACCAGTCAAAAGGTGTTGGGTGACTGAATGGATTCAAAACAAAGCCCAACAGTCTGCTGTTTACAAGATATTTAACTTACCAATAAAGACAGGCACAGACTTAGAGGTAAAGGTTGTAAGACAACACCGTAAGCAAATGGTAAAAAAAAGTCAAGGGGCCTCCCTGGTGGCGTAAGGGACGCAGCACCATGAAGCTATCCACAGCCACTGCAGCAGAGTTCAATCCCGGCCAGGAAGGTGACCCACATGGCCTAGACCCCTCCAGATTCACCTATTGCTCCTCTCAGCAGTGTATTTCAGTCAGTCCTCCTGTTCTGTCCCCACTCTGTTCAATTCCCACTGTGTCTCTGGTGAATTCTCTCATCCCCCCACACCTCTGGCCTGTACCCCAGTTCTTGTATGCATAAATAAATAAATCTAAAAAAAAGTCAAGAAAAGCTATTCTTATATCAGATAAAATAGACATTCAATTAAAAAAGATGCACATTACGTGATAAGGATCTAATATAGGATGAAATAACTCATATAATATATACACTGAAAGAGGACTAAGATATCTGTCAATTACTAGTGCAGCTAATGAGAGATATTGGTAACAAATACTATAGGATTTTAATACTCCACTTATTACCATGGATAGATCAACAAGACAAAGAATAAATAAACAACAGCCTTAAATATACAACAGCCTTAAATGTGGAGCTAAACCAAAAAGATTTAACAGGTATCTAAAGAACATTCCATCCAAAAAATCTGTATACACATTTTTCTCAAATGTACATGGAACATTTTCAAGAATGGATCATATGTTGGGACGCAAGTCAGTTGTCAGTAAAGCTACAAGGACAGTATTCTGACTATAATGCCACAAAGCTAGGAATCAGCTACAAAAAAAAAAAAAAAAAATCAAGGTAAAACTAAAAATACATGAACACTAAGCAATATGCTGCCTAATAGCAACTAAAAATGAAGATAAAATAATCAAAACTTACTTTGAGACTAGTGAAAAAGAGAACACCATTACCAGAGTCTATGGGATGCAGCAAAAGCAGTCTTCAGAGAGAAAATAATAGCAATATAAGTCCACATTAAGAAGAAAAAAAAAATTGTGACTTCCTGGTGGCGCAAGGGGTTAAGCACTGCACTGTGAAGCAATCCGCAGCCTCCGAAGCCACTGCAGCACGAGTTTGATCCCACGGCCAGCCAGGGAGCAACCCACATGACGCAGCAGACCTCTCCTGACTCTCAAGCTGCTCCCCTCAGCGGTGTATTTCAGTCAGTCTGCCTGTTCTGTTCCTCACTCTGTGTCTGGTGAATCCTCTCACCACGCGCATCTCTGGCCTGTACCCTAGCTCTGTATGCATAAATAAATAAATATTGCCCATTTAAAAAAAAGATTTATTTATGTATACAAGAGCTAAGGTACAGGCCAGAGATGCAGGGGGGTGAGAGGATTCACCAGAAACAGAGTGAGGAGCAGAACAGGCGGAGTGACTGAAATACACTGCTGAGGGGAGCAGTGGGTGAGGCAGGAGAGGTCTGCTGTGCCATGTGGGTTTCTCCCTGGCCGGCCAGGGATCGAACTCTTGCTGCAGAGGCTGCGGAATGCTTCATAGTGCTGTGCTTAACCTCTTGCGCCACCAAGGATGCCCTAAATATTGCCCATTTTTTGACTGGATTATTTACTTTGTTTTTGTTGAGTCTCATCAGCTCTTTGTTAGATTTTTGTGCTCAGTCCTTTATCATTAGTGTTATGTGCAAAAATTTTCTCCCAATTGGTGGGGTGCCTCTTAGTTTTGGTTACTGTCTCTTTTGCTGTACAGAAGCTAAAATGTTCAACATCATTTGTAATCAGGGAAATACAAATCAAAACTACAATGAGATACCATCTTATACCAGTGAGAATGGCACATATTAAAAAAACTAGCAACAACAAATGTTGGCGAGGATGTGGAGAAAAAGGAACTCTCCTGCACTGCCGGTGGGAGTGCAAAACTGGTCCAATCACTATGGAAAGTTATGTGGAGATTCCTCAACCTGCTAAAGATGGAGCTTCCATATGATCCAGCAATTCCACTTCTAGGTATTTACCCAAAGGACACAGAAACATTAATTCAAAAGGGCACTTGCACCCTTATGTTTATAGCAGCATTATTTACAATAGCTAAGCTATGGAAACAACCCAAATGCCCAAAAATAGATGACTGGATCAAGAAGATGTGGTACATATACACAATGGAATATTACTTAGCAATCAAAAAAGATAAACACATGCCATTTGCGGCAACATGGGTGGAGCTGGAAGGGATCATGCTCAGTGAAATAAACCAGAAAGAAAAAGAAAAATACCAGATGTCTCACTCATAGTAGGAATTTAGAAAACCTAAATAAGGGACCAGGAAAAAGACTAATTACAATAAAGTAAAAATCAAAATCAACAAGCAACTATAAACCAGAGAAACACTACAGGGTGGGGCAGAGGGAGTAGGATCAAAACAAGGGGGGAATGGGGATTGTAAGGGGACTATAATCAAGATGAAAATGCACACGTTGTGCAAAAATGAAAAATGATGTAAAAATATATAAAATTAAAAAAATAATAAAAAAATAAAATTTAAAAAAAGAAGAAAAAAATCAGGCCTCCCTGGTGGCGCAGGGGTTAAAGAAAGTGCTATCAAGCTACCACCAGCCACTGGAGCAGGAGTTTGATCCCCCACTGGCCAGGGTGCAACCCACAAGGCACAGCAGGCCTCTCCTGCCTCTCCTTTCAGCAGTGTATTACAATACATCTGCCTGTTCTGCTTCCCATTCTGTCTTTAGTGCATCCTGTCAACGGCCTATACCCGTTATTGTATGCATAAATATCCCTCAAGCAACTTGAAAAAGAGGAACAAACAAGCCCTAAGATAAGGAAGCATTTCTTAGTACATTTTATGATGTACATTTTATGATGTACTATTTAACAATACCCAAAACCAGATAAAGACAGCACAAGAAAATTTTAGAACAAAATCATTACGTAAAAGGACAATAAATCTGTATTATGAAAGATGTAAAGTTTATTCTAAGGGGAAATCACCAGCTCCAAATTGGTAATGAAAGAAACTAATGGTTGGAGAGAAAGGGAGAGAAATTAATCTGTTTAACAACTGCCACTCTTTTTGAGGGAAATGATCTATTAAATAGGCTTCTGTTTTAAGTATTTAGACTTATTAGTACACTTAGTATATAATTATTGTCTTAGAATGCTGATTTTAAAAGAAAAAAGACAGATTAATGAAAACTACATTTGAAGTTAGGTTTAAAATAATTCCTCAACTTTATTTAGCCCTTTTTAACTTTCACTTCATTTTCATATACATTATTCCTTTTCTTCTTCATAACCTTGTGAATTTGAGGTTTTATTCTGATTTTATGTGTGAGGAAAAAACAAAAAACCCGGAGAGGCTAATTCACCTAAAGTTACATATTTTGTATGAGCTGGAGTCAACTTTCTGGGGCTTCCAATACTTGACCTTTCCTGGTTCCCACCTGCATCCACTTTAACCTTCTGCTTCTGTTTTCTTTCTCATCTTGAAATCTCTCAATTATATTAATTTTCCTGCTGTGCATATGCCTTCTAAGGGAAATGACAACTTTAATGGTGCAATACTTATTGTACCTATTTTATACTGCATAAAATATCGATATGCAATTATTTTCCCACCACTCAAAAATTTTAATATGTATTGAAGATTTTGAACCAGAAAATATGTAAGAGAAGACAAGGCATAGAAAATAACTTATAACAAACTTCTAAAACCTCTCACATATTAAAACTGGTATGACAAAAATATGATTTATAATACATTTTGTCATTATGGTATAGACAAGAAAATAGTACCCATACTAAATGAATTCATCCTACTTATCAAAAAGAATGAAAATACTCAGATACTTATAAATAGGTATTCAAAAGTTTCTTTTGGAACAACATTCTTTGGTGTTCATAAAACTGCATATATTATATATATATATATCAGTCTTTCAGACTATATATTCAGTGTAAAATGGAAATGAAAAAATATAAATTAGATATTACTACATAAAGTAGTTAGAGGCTAAGTATCTTGATTTTACGGTGCTCAAGTATCTCCAGAAAAGATTTACTCACTAAACTTTACAGTAACTACCTATTCTTTGATATTTCTCACATATCTACATGTTCCAGAAAATAAAAAGAGTTCATCTATTAAGCAGAAAATTCAATTCTGGCAATTATTACTGAATTTTTCCACTTACTGTTCTATAACACATGGAGCTAAATGAAAACATGAAAAGCCCAGCATTACTTGGATACCAGCATGATAAGTAACTTGGAATGCCAGATACAAAACAAGAAATGGAATATTCTGGTTTAGAGGAGAAAGGTAAATGAATAACATGGACACAACTTTTAGTATAAGTTCTTTACCCTAACAAAGTAATTATTCATTTGCAAATATTACCAAAAGTAAAAAAAAAATTTATTTTACAGAGTGGTTGGATTTATAATACATAAAAAATTGTAATATTATAATTCCCTATTTTTACTGCTTATCTCAGATCAGTGGTTGAAGTTTCTCCCAAATAATTTAGTTTACATTTAAAGTGGCAATACAGATTTACTGAATGGATTTAAGTTATAATTAGAAACCAGTTTTATATACAGAAAATCCATAAATATAGAACCTTTATTCCTATTTTATTCTAGGACTATGCAAAAATTTACTAAAAATTTTTCATTTGGGTCTTTGTAATAAACATGTAAATACATTACTTACAGTGGAGGTGCTTTCTAACAAAGCAAACACACAGAAGTAATTTTGGTCTTCACTAAAATCCATCATTATATGTTCACTTTCAAAGATGATGTAATACATCAGGTTCATCAAATTTTAAGATTCTTACTATACACATCATTCAAATAATTTTTTACTTGTACAATGAATGCTTCATTCTATATTTTAATTTCCTTTAAGAAATATTCCTGATCCAATGGTAGGGAGTGTTAAAATTTTTTCACATATAGCAAAATGTTTCTGTACAATTATGTGCAATTTTCTTCCTCCTGGCAATATTATAAATACTGGGTCGATTAGTCTTCATTGTTCATATTCCAGGTGTAATTCTCAAGTTATCTCACATGATGTAAGTACCATCTTTGTAATATTTCATGGACTCCATTTGTTTTGTCATTGCCAGAACATCATGAAATCCAGTACTCAGGCCAGACATATGTTGAAAGTATGCCTCTTTTTCCACTTGAATTGTTAAGTTGTTTACTCCAGCATCTTTTAGTATTCCTGTAACCTGTTATAAAATACACACATTTAGAAGAATTTAGATTAATACATTCAGTGCATGTCTTAAATAATTGATATTATATTTATATAACTACAATCAAAGATGAATCCTTAAAGTGAGGTTTATTATTTAGTTAGTCAAATGTTAGATAGGATATTTTAGAAGTCCAGTAAAATTACTGACCTGACATTTAAAGCAGAAAAGGAAAACAGCTATTGTTCTTAATTCAGTATGTCAAGAATAGTAATACAGGAACTATTTTAATCTTTACCATATTTGTCATACCCTGACAAATTTATATCAATTTAGGGCTATCATTATAACTTATTGATAACCTATTTGGAATCAAGATGGATCATCAATTAAAATTTTTTTTTAAGATTTATTTATGCATACAAGAACTGGGGTACAGGTCACAGGAGCGGGGGGGGGGGGGTGAGATGATTCACCAGAGACAGAGTGACTGAAATACACTGCCAAGGGGAGCAGCAGGAGAGCCAGGAGAGGTCTTGCTGCGCCATGTGGGTTGCTCCCTGGCCGGGGATTGAACTCGTGTTCAGTGGCTGAGGATAGCTTCATAAGTTGTGTCTTAACCCACTGCGCCACTAGGGAGGCCCCATCAATTAAATTTTAAAAAAAGATTTTTTTATTTATTTATGCATACAACAACTGGGGTGTATGCCAGATGCAGAGGGTAGGGGGTGGTAAGAGGAGTCACCAGAGTGGGGAGCAGAACAGGTGGATCTTCTGAAATACACTGCTGAGGGGAGCAGTGGGCCAGATAGGAGAGTCTGCTGTGCCATGTGGGTTAGCTCCCTTGGTGGGTATTTAACTCACACTGCAGTGGCTGGAGCAGCTTGACAGTGCTGAGACTTAACCCCTGGTGCCACCAGGGAGGCCCATAAATGAATTTTTTTAAAATGTAAATTAAGCATGCCCTCTAATTTCTACAACTTGATTTTATTTTAACCATTTCAGAATATAAAACAAATCATGATATAAGTAAAAAGTTAGGTAATCTTTGGCTAGCTAAAAGATGGGTGTTTTTAAACAGTTAAATAACAATTGAAGGTATGGAACTTAGAGTGTATGCAATGTTATGCATGAATTACTTCAATTAAAATTACTTTAAAAACAAAAGATTATTACCTGCTGTACTATTCTTTGTTCCAGCACATCAGATGTGACCTGTATATGAATTGTTCCTGCCACAATATTGGCAGAATGACGCCAAAAATGGGAGTCTCGGTATGATATTAATCCTTCAATTTTTTGTATCTGTTAAATAAAAGGAGGGAGATATAAATGGTCTTAAAGGCTAATTTACTTAACACAAAGTAATCTTTCTGATCTAGGAATCACTATTAAGTGGATTTAAACTAAACTAAACAGAGCCTGTAAGTGAGAAAGGAATAGGAAGGGGACAACTAGCTTGAACTAAAATTGTGTAAAATATTATGAGTCGGGAATGTTACCAGGGAAGGCAGGGAAGTGAATAGGATTACAGATGTCTTTACACTCAATAGCTGCACATCCATTTTCACTTTGCCTATTTGAAATACTAGATATATTATGCTGATACACACATTCATGTTACTTTCTATGCAGAGATAACATGTTCAAATGACAGTGTCCATGATCAAAGAGAAGGGATTAAACATATTTTATAGGCTACCCAAACAATGAAATTTGTCATTGCCTTTTTACAAAACAGCACAACAGTTTTTTTTTGTTTTTATTAAAAAAAAAATTATATAGAAAAACAACTTTAAAAAAATGTCTCTTTCCAGGCCGTAGAATTGTATGTAATCTTTTTTTCTTTTTTTTTTTTTGGGGGGGGGGTACTTTTCTTAATTTGAAGTTTTCTGTAATGAAATAAAATGAAATAAAATATTTTTTAGTGGGATGTACCATTCATTAATGAGAAGGCTTGAGAAAATAACATATTATGGAAACAGTGGATAAAGATGCTGTATCTTAAACATTCAAGATACCAACTTTTCACTAGAAGATCAGAATTTGAGTATGACTTGTCTGTTTAAATTCTCAGTCCATTTTTCTATAATTTTTTTTTCCTTGATGTAAAGGATAGTGAACAGTAAGTCTTTGCCTGTTTATATGTGATACAAATATTTTCTTTTAGCCTTTGTAGTTTATATTTGTCAACAGAATCTTTTGTCAATGGCAATTTTCAGTTATCAAACCTATAGTTTTTTTTTTTTTTTAAAGATTTATTTATTCATACAAGAGCTGGGGTACAGGCCAGAACGTGTGTGGGGTGAGAGAATCCATCAGAGACAGAGTGGGGAACAGAACAGGCAGACTGACCGAAGTACACTGCTGAGGGGAGCAGCGGGAGAGTCAGGAGAGGTTTGCTGTGCCATGTGGGTTGCTCCCTGGCTGGCCGGGGACCGGGGAGCAAACTCATGATGCAGTGGCTGCGGACAGCTTCATAGGTTGTGTCTTAACCCTCTGCGCCACCAGGGAGGCCCAAACCTTTAGATTTTTTCCCCCTCCATTTTACATTCTGGTTTTACTTTAAGTTTATGAAAAAGAGACTTTCTCTACTAAAATATTCTTTCTTTTTAGCAGTTTTATAAATTTTATTGTTTACATATTTAATCCACTAGAAATATATTTTTATATGGTATGGTATAGTGATATAGTTTTGCTTCTCCACCAAGTGGAAATGCTGATTAGGATCTGAAATGCCATCTTTGAGAGATACACACACACATATACACACACATATATATATGAATTCTCTAAGTTCCCTGACAACCTATTTTTAAAACAATTTTTTGTGTTTACTCCTGAACAAGAACAAAACTTAGCTTTTTTTTCCTTTTTTTAAAAAGATTTATTTTTGGGCCTCCCTAGTGGTGCAAGGGGTTAAGATGCAACCTATGAAGCTATCCGCAACCTCTGCAGCAAACTCTGCAGAGTTTGATCCTCAGCTAGCCAAGGAGCAACCCACATGATGCAGCAGACCTTGACCTCTCCTGACTTGCCTGCTGCTCCCCTCAATCTGCATGTTCTGTTTCCCAGTCTGTCTCTGGTGAATCCTCTCAATCCCTCCCCCCCAACTCTGGCCTGTACCCCAACTCTTGTATGCATAAATAAATCTTAAAAAAAAGATTTTTATTTATACAAGAACGGGGTACAGGGCAGAGGCTCAGGAGGGTGAGAGAGGATTCACCAGAGACAAAGCAGGGAGACAAATGGACTGAAGACACTGCTGACGGGAGCAGTGGGTGAGACAGGAGAGGTCTGCCATGTGGGTATCTCCCCGGCCGGCCAGGAATCGAACCCACGCTGCAGAGGCTGTAGAAAGCTTCACAGTGCTGCGTTCAAACCACTGCGCCACCGGGGAGGCCCCAAAACTGTTAACTTTGTTGGTTAGTTGTGCACAACTTTATAATGACAAAACAGAATTCTACTAACTAGTTTATTCTGGAAAATTTTTATGTTTTTATTTATTCTTGAACATTAACTCTTCCAAATAAGCCTCCAATACTGGACTACTAATCTCCCCCAAAACAGAAACAAACAAAACAAGACAAAAATCCCAATGAAAGCAAGTGTATAAAGATTTACATGAAAGAAAATCACCATCTTAGCCATGCAGTTTCCTATCTAAGAAAATGTTTCTATTTATTCAGTGTCTATTTTACGTTCTTTAAAAAAACCTTTATTTTCTTCATATCTTGTTTATTTCATGTTAGGACAACTATACTCAGTTTCAAATGCTATTTTAAACAGAAAATAATTACACACAGAAGAAATCATACAAAGTACCTTTTCTAAAGCAATATGTAGTTCTTTTTCACATTCTGGTGGCAATCTCAGAAGTAGAACTTGACAGGCATCTTTAATCAGTGGAACAACACTTAGGAATATTAATATAGCAATAAAAAGAGAACAGAGGGGATCAGCAATGAACCATCCAAACTGTTCTATGAGAATTGTGGATACGATCACACCAATACTGCCAAGTGTGTCTGCTAAAACATGTAGAAATACACCTAAAAGAAAAAAATAAAAAATATTAACAATTAAATAAAGCACTTCTAATTTAGTTCTTTTATCCATTCTATAAATATTACTTGAGGGCCTCCCCGGTGGCGCAGCGGTTGAGCGCTGGGTTGCGAAGCTGCCCGCGGCCTCTGCGGCGCCGGTTCGATCCCCGGCTGCTCCCCGGCCACCGGAGGAGGGTCCCACATGGCGTGCAGACCTCTTCTGCCGCCCGCTGCTCCCCTCAGCAGTGTACTTCAGTCCTTCTGCCTGCTCTGCTCCCCGCTCTGGCTCTGGTGAATTCTCTCACCCTCCCGCGCTTCTGACTGTACCCAGTGCATGTATAAACAAAACAAACAAACAAACCAGCAAACAAATAAATAAAGCATGCCTCTATTAAAAAAAAAAAATATTACTTGATACTACTGTGTATGTGGCACTCTGTAAGGGCCGGTACCTCAAAATGATTAAAATACAACCACTGTCCTCAAGGTTGTTACAATATAATGGTAAAAAGGCAAGGACGTGGGCGACCACATAGCACAGTATGGTAAGCTTTATGATGGTGTGGGTTTGTCTGACAGAGCCTCTGAGAAACCATACATGAGTTAAGTTTTCTCATTATCCAAAATTTACATTAAAAATTAAACAACCAGAATAATTCAATATAGTAAGTGATAAATACTCCCCCCCCCCCCTTTTTTAAGGAACGATGAAAATTTCCTGGTTCATTTTTAGTGAAAGATCATAATGGCACACTCAGTGTTTTCCTTGCAAGTAATATTTATGCAAATGTGAGTATGAAAAGGACTCTATCATTATAATAATTTATTAAAAATTTGAAATCTATGAATGTGCGCATTTTCCATTACTGATAACTTTACACCTTTTTACTTTTTTCTAATTTTTTAAATTTTTTAAATTTTTAAACAATATTTGCTTCCCCCTACCCCCTCAGATTGAGTCCCCATAGAATTTCCTTCCTCAAGGCACCTGTGCACCATTACCACAGTCCCCTGTGCTCCTCTCTCTCTCCCTCCTCCCCCCCTGCAGTATGTCTCTGATTTATAATTGTCTGTTTTTGCTTTGTTGTGTTTTGTACTGTTGTTGTTATTTTTTTTTATACTGATATCTTATTTGTTTCCCCTATATTCCTGTTATAAGTGAAACCATTCAGTATTTTTCTTTTCCTTTTGGCTTATTTCACTGAGCATAATTCCTTCTAGTTCCATCCACGTTGCTGCAAATGGCATGAGTTTATCTTTTTTGATTGCTGAATAATAATCCATATTGTATATATATCACATCTTCTTGATCCAGTCATCTATTTTTGGGCATATGGGTTGTTTCCAAGTTTTACCTATTATAAATAGTGCTGCAATAAACATAGGTGTACAGGTGCTCTTTTGAATCAATGTTTTTGTGTCCTTTGGGTAGATCCCTAGGAGTGGAATTGCTGGGTCATATGGTAGCTCATTTTTAGTAGGTTGAGGAACCTCCAGACAACTTTCCATAGTGGTTGGACCAGTTTGTACTCCCACCAGCAATGTAGGAGAGTTCCTTTTTCACGACACCCTCACCAACATTTGTTGTTGCTTGTTTTTTTGATATGTGCCATTCTTACTGGTAACTTTACACATTTTTAAAGCCCCAGATTGTTTTTCAAAAATAAAATTGCACCAGGAGTCCAATATTTAATACAAATGAACAGTTTCAATTTAGAACACTACTGAAAGGTAGGACTCACCTCTCATGTTTGCATTCATGCCTCCTCCTGCAGCTCCGTGGCTGTGACCATGCCCATGGTCATTGTGTCCATGCATATGGTGTGAATGGCTGTGATCAGAGTGACAGCTTCCTTGAGAAGCTCCATGGGTATGGTTATGGGCATGGCTAAAGGCACAGATACCAATAAGGTTTACTATCAGTCCTCCAACTGAGACTGGCTAGTAAAAGGGAGAAAAGAAAACTTTTAAATTTGTAATTAAAAAAAAATTTGCTATTTAAAAGTTAACAGAGCACATAAATGGGTTTCTGTTTATAGTAAAACCATCTAAGTTCAGTAAGTAAACCCAAAATTTAAAAAGTGTTAATTTTATAGTTTCTTAGAAGAAACACTTTAATTTTCAAAAACCAAAGTGTTGAGGCCTCCCTGGTGGTGCCAAGGGGTTAAATCTCAGCACTATGAAGCTATCTGCAGCCACTGTAGCAGACTTCCATCCCCGGCCAGGGAGCTGACCCACACAGCGCAGCAGACCTCTCCTGTCTGGCCTGCTGCTCCCCTCAATAGTGTATTTTAGTAGATCTGCCTGTTCTGTTTCCCACTCTGTCTCTGGTGAATCCTCTCACCCCTGCCCCCACACCTCTGGCTGCACCCCCCAGCTCTTGTATGCATAAATAAAATAAATCTAAAAAAAAATCAAAGTGTTGACTAGTAGCAGGATCTGAACTGCTTTCATTGATTAAGAATAAAATGTACTTGGTTGATGGCTTAGGGACAATTAATGTTAAGATTTTCTTTTGTTTATTTTGCTTACTAGAACAAATATCAATTGTACCCAAAATTGCCTTTGTATTACAGGGTAAATTTCAACAGTTGCAAGACAATAAGATAGGAAATTGGTTTAAATAAATAAAACCTTCCTGGATTAATAACAAATAATTAAACCGTAGCATGGAAAAAGCTATATGACATGTAATTCAAAAAGGAAAATAAAGAGACTTACTGTTAACATGTGTGTGTCCAATTCTGGTGGATCAATTAATCTAGCCACTGACTCCATAAACACAAAGAAAGCTATTACCATTAGAAAAAGTCCATTAATAAATCCAGAAAGAATTTCTATTCGGCCATACCTAAAAATGCAGAATATATTTTTAAAAAAGAAAAATGGCAAATATTTTAAAAGAATAAACTTAGGAAATAAGATATCCAACTACATAAACAGTAAAATTAATTATCATGATTTTAAACATCTAATGCAGGACGATTCTTCCATACATATATATTTGTTGAAATTTTAAATATCAAAGTTCTTTTTTAACATTCCTCTCTACACAAATCTTTCCTAATTTTTTAGCAAGAAGTTCTCTCTCTCCCTCCTTTCTTTGAAAAAGAGTTATCTTTCGTCCCTTAATATACTTTTTTATCTTTTGTTATAGCATACAGATTCTGCTTTGTATCAAAATTATTTTGTATTTTTGGCTCATCCATCATTCAAAATATAAAAATTAAAAATAAGTCCTGAATTTGTCAGTCTGTTTAGGGTAGATCTTATCAAAATACCTTGCATGAATCAGGGATTCTAAAATTTGAACTGCATTATTCACTCAGGGAAAATCTACTTCAGGTATAGTTATTTCAAATTTTGAGTACTCCTTCTAACAGTACTCCTTCTTACATCTAAAGATGTAAGTGACCATGCACATTCCATCGATTCAAAGAAACACGGTGGGCAAAGAGCTCAATATTTAACTGATTTTTACTACTTGCCCATAAGATTATTTGTTGTGAGGTATAATGTTGAGCTTACCACCATTTAGTAGTTATCAAAATGCTTAGTTCAGTTCCTCTTATCCACATCAGATTAAGAAAAAATGAAATGCTGAAAACTTAAGAGTAAAAGTAATAAAATTTTATTCCATAGGATGGAATCTATAATTCAGATTTTTCTGTTGTGCTACATTGCCTTGATAGTTAGTGTACCTACCCATAGGAGAAAATTCGAGTTGCTTTCCATCTACTCATCAGAGCTGCAAAAAGTCCCATGACCAAAGCAGAGCAGTCAAAGAGCATATGAAATCCATCTGAGATCAGACCCAGACTATTGGTTAACACGCCATAGAATAATTCCACAAAGGTAAAAAGCTAAAATGTTTAAAAAAAAATAGGGGAGGAGTGTGTTGGGAAATACTGTTGCAAGACAGATTTACCAGAATTTAATCATGAGGACTTTAACCTTTGGTCACCCAAACCTTTTTAAGGTATATATGCTTCTTTAATTATTTAACTAGCATTTATACCAGAAACATCTTTTCATATAAATTGTAAGAAACGAAAAAGTTAAATTAGGTACATCCATCATATAAATTATTTAAAAGGAGATAGTTTTATTTAAATATACAACTTAATAAACCAGCCTATAAGATGTTAGCAGTTTGGTCTGAAGTGAGATTCAAAGGTTTATTTTCCAATAGACAGCTATGCTGAAAATCTTCACCCATGGAGTTATAAAGAGGATTTCCTTCAGGAATAGATGATTATCTTTAGAAATTACTGTATTTATTGATGAAATAGCATAATAAAGCATGCTTCCAAAATGTCTCAAACATTGTTTGCTAACATATTCTCAACATGATCCTACAATCTTTCCAGCACTTAGAGAAAGTGTAATTTTAGACTTTCTGTATCAGAAATTTAGAAATTACTAAAATTGTGCTAGCACTATCAAAAGTAAAAGATTAAGCTTTTAACATAGGCAATTAATAGTTAAAATCCTTACCAGATTCAAGCACAAGAAGTAAAAGATCTGCCTAGAATCATTCTCCTCAAGAATTTGTTTTAGTGATTCTTTAATAAATCTAGGGATCGATTGCGAGCTATGCTGAAAAGCATCACCCATGAAGTGATAAAGAGGTGTTCCTTCAGGAGAATATCCAATTAGGGTACCTTTCTGTCCTCTCTTAGAGGGAGATGATAAGATGTTGGCAGCTAAAAAGAGGAGGGAAAAAGACTATTACAAAAGTTTTAAGAATTGAAGCTACCAGAACGCAACACAGTTTCTGTCAGCAAAAATGCAAGCATTGAACAAATTTTAAAATTAAGTAAATTATTTGAGTATCGGAATTCACAGAAGAAATTTATTAAGGGGAAAAACGCTTACACAAAATGAAGAATATTGCGCTTACTACCACTCCTCCAGACAAGACGTGTTCAGTGCTCTCCTGATGTGCTGCTTTGTTTATAGCTCGAAGCTGGTCTGTTATAGGATGTGTCCAAAAGTTTCCAAAAAGTAGAGCGCTAATAAAAATGGGAAAGGATCCATAGCGGGCACATTTGGAAACTTCCATTTTGACTGAACAAATGGAATCGACATAGAAATCCAGGATCATGACAAAAAAGATAACCGTTGTGAAAGGCATAATGAGAGAAAACCAAGATTCAACTTTACTCTAGAAATTTAAAAAAAAAAAAAAAAAAAAAAAAAAAAAAAAAAGCAGAAATTGTCAATATTATTTGGGTATAAAGTTCACATCTCATAAGATGTCTTAGATTAATCCCTTTATATATAAGCAAATATTCTCTTGATTCAGTATGATTTCTAAAATACCAAAATATAAGAGCTATAAAATATTGGAATTTCCCAATAGTCCCAAGTGATTAAAAAAACAAAAGCATTATTGTTTAATAATTTTATACTAGGTGACCAAAATCATTGTGCTTAACATATAGTAGGTATTAAACTGCTTTTTCAAAAAGCTGATTCTTTGGACCATACTAAAGGGAAGGATATATAAATGTAATAGTACTTGATTTGTATTTTCTATAAATAATATATTCAACGCCAAATAATTTTCAAAAACTGTAAAGAAAACCCAAAAATAATTTAAGACACATGTAACCTCAAATTGAAATAGGATATAATGTACTGAATTAAAATTTATAAGGAGTAGCAATTCATTTTACTGACAACCAATCAATTTCTGTTCTTACCTCCGTTGTTATAGAAAGAACAATGACCCATGGGCACAAGAGAAGCACAGAAACAAGATGGGATAAAGCTTGAAGACGTTTGGCTCCACCAACATCTATAGAGAGCTTTCTGGAAGCTGTATGAAAACCAACTTTACAACACAAAGCCAGTACAAGCAACAAAACTCCACCCTATGAGTAAAATTAGATAACTCTCATTAGAAACATACAGTCTAATACTCAATCCTTAAATACATAATATTTGGAGAAATGTAACTAGAATTTTTCCCATATTCCAAATTATTGAACTACTTAAATGGCAAGCAAAACTGTAATTTACTGATTACTTATTTTTAAATGCATTTTTAAAGTTCTATTTGCTATACTTCTCAGAATCTTTTCATCAAGTTAGCAACAAAGAGGGCCTCACTGGTGGCCCAGGTGTTAAAAGTGTCAGGGCTATCAAGCTATCACCAGCCACTGCGGCATGAGTTCAATTCTGGCTAGGGAGCTAACCCACAAGAGTTCGATCCTGGCCAGGAAGCTAACCCACATGTGCAGCAGACCACTCCTGACTCCCCTGCAGCTCCCCTCAGCAGTGTATTTCAGTGGATCTGCCTGTTCTGCCCCCTACTGTCTCTGGTGAATCCTCTTACACCCTACACCTCTGGCATACACCCCAGTTCTTGTGAGCATAAGTAAATAAAACTAAATCTTATTTTTAAATTTTTTTAAAGATTTATTTATTTACACATACAAGAACTGAGGTATAAGTCAGAGGTGCAGTGGGTGAGAGGATTCACCAGAGACAGAGTGGAAAGCAGAACAGGCAGATCTACTGAAATACACTGCTGAGGGGAGCAGCCGGGCGAGGCAGGTGAGGTCTGCTGCGCCATGTAGGTTGTTTCCTGGCCGGCTAGGGATCGAACTTGTGCTGCAGTGGCTGGCAATAGCTTGATAGCGCTGTCTTTAACCCCTGTGCCACCAGGGAGGCCCCTAAAACTAAATCTTAAAAAAAAAAAAAAAAAAAAAGTTAGCAACAAAGAAATGAACATACCTTGTGATCTGCCACACCTAGGAAGGCAATGGCTGTGTAAAGCATGTGAGTCAGAGCACTGTCATGATGTCCTTCAGCTAAGTGAGTTGGAGTATAGGATAAAATTCCAAATATTAACTCTGAATCCAGAAGTCTTCTTGAAATTTTCGCTATATAATTTGGGGCTGAATATAAACTAGTCTGTGGGTCCCAAACCTGACTATTCTCAGTAAGTTTCCTTTTGAAACAAAATAATTTAAAATTTAATTTTAGGACAAGATTTATAAGTTAGAATGGACTGATTTTCTTTTGTTGTCTCCTAAACGACAGATGTCATCTCTAATAGACATATACATACATACTGTAAATAGGACAAAGAGACAAAAGCAAGGAACCTTCTTGGACGACTCTTACCCAATGGAATTAAGGTAGTCCTTTTAGAATGACACGTAAAATCAGCTGTAAATTTGTTTCTAAGTCGTTGACCACATAAGGCTCAGCAAAGCAAGGAAGGAGCAATCACAGGAAAGTGGGTGGGGAATAGTATCACAAGTAATCTGGGATTCAGCAAACTTATGCTACCCTCTTTCATTTTCACAAATTATTATTATTAACCACTAGGTTTTAGGGCAGTGTATTTTAGTAACCAGAAGTCTTAAAATGGTCTTCTGGATTCTTAGTAGTAAAGTGGGCACTTACTATACTTAGTAGTAAAGTGGGCAAAGATGTGTGAAGAGGAAAGAATATGGAACATCTGCAAAGGAAAATGAATAGACATATTAGACTGGAAAGTTGATTTATACAAGATAAGAGTGAGGGATGAACTGGAAATAATTTAGAACAAAAGAGTGAATACTAGGCTAAGAAATCTGAACTTTGTGTTTCAAGCAAGAAGATGCCAAAGGTTGTTTATTTAATCTCAAAAAGGTTATACTCAATAATCACTAAAGTGAACATCGAAATTACAAATATATTTTATTGACTGGCAAATCATTTATTGTTTCTCTTTACCACCAGGACATTCTAAAATATTCTTTTATTGTCCCTACATTTAGGGTTCTACAGAAGATATTAAGATGCTGTAAAACATTTAATTTAGAATTAATCTATTCACTATTTGAAAACTGATTTAGAAAACCCATATTAATGTATGACAATTTCACCCATGTTTTATCAGTTTAACTCACTCACTCCTTTTCCCATTCTGCCAATCGTCTTTTTCTGCAAGATTCCTAAGTCCAGTTTATTGCAAAAGGATACGGTGTTCAGCCATTTTAGCCATGAGATCATCATTGTCAAAAAGCAATAGGCAGATGACAGCGATAATGAAAAAAGCAGCCCCCCTTGTCTGAAAACAAGAAAATAATATTAAGGATGGCTTTTTCAAGAGTTGATTTTTAAGACCATGACTATATTAAACGCTAATGTTTATTTTATTCCAAATAAACATTTAAAACAAAAATAACATCTAACATTAAAACTTATGCAATATACATTTATAGTACTAACAGTAAGATATAAAAGTAAAGAATACATTCTGCAGGATGTTTTATTTTTTTATTTTTTTTATTTTTATTTTTTAGAGGCATGTTTTATTTATTTATTTGTTTGTTTGTTTGTTTGTTTATACATGCACTGGGTACAGTCAGAAGCGCGGGAGGGTGAGAGAATTCACCAGAGCCAGAGCGGGGAGCAGAGCAGGCAGAAGGACCGAAGTACACTGCTGAGGGGAGCAGCGGGCGGCAGGAGAGGTCTGCGCGCCTTGTGGGACCCTCCTCCGGTGGCCGGGGAGCAGCCGGGGATTGAACCGGCGCCGCAGAGGCCGCGGGCAGCTTCCCAACCCAGCGCTCAACTGCTGCGCCACCGGGGAGGCCCTCTGCAGGATGTTTTAAGGACATTTAGACACATAATGGCCATTTCCATTGTTTCCTTGCTAATATGGCCAGACATGTCACCATACACAAGGGATAATGCTAAATGAAATAAGTCACAAGAAGAAAAATACTACCAGATGATGTCATTAATATGTGGAATATAGAGAAACCAAACCAAGGGTCAGATAAAGACAAGCTTTAAAACTAATCCTTGAAAACTGACTACAGAACAGAAGCATCCAAGAGGATGTTTGTGGAGTGGGATTAAGAATAAAGAAGGAAGCACAATGGACTATGATGGAGGACTATTTTGTGGTAGGTGCAATATGGAGCTGATGTGGAGAATCCTATTGTTACCTCAGTTAAATTATTAAAACAAAAATACCACAATTAATCATCTTAAATATTATTTTGTTTCTGGGCTTAAAAGCCCAAGTAGCTGAAGAATAATTAGTAGGGACTTATTTATTCTACAACATGCAAGTGATTGACAAGACAGTAAATTTACAATAATATCAATATCCGAGTCTCCAGTCTTTTTGGGGAAAAGAGCTAAGAGGGAATGCTAAGGAAATTAACAAAATCATTTGTAAAGTCTAGTAAAAGAGTAAATAACTTAAATGCTGATAAGCTATTTAAGTTTGTGATCTTATTCCAAGGAAAGTATTTTGACAAAATAAAATTCTAGAAAGGAAATACTATTCTAATTTGTGTAAATACTTCAGAATATGGGTAGAAAAGTAGTCTAAATAGCATTATAATATATTCTGTATTTACAAATTTATAAGTATAATACCAGATTCTTCCAGTACATAAACATTTAAAATGAAAAGTGAGGAACCTATTACATGATTACACTATATTAGTAAATTCTTCACTAGTGTGGTAGATATTCTGACAAGTTGGTATGCGTAAGCACACAATTTAAATTTTATAATTTTCACAGAATTAGAATATGGCAACATAAATTATACTCAAATATGTAGAGCAAAATGTAATCTTCTGTTAACTAAGAGGGCAACTGAGAATTCTGTAGTGCTTCAGAAACAAACACTGATTCATAGATTGATGTCCAGATTCATTACTGACACCAATGAGAGGATATGTAAGATCTATACTCTAATTTCTGAATTAGCACAGCAGCAAAATTTTTGTTGTTGTAATGTTTTAAAGTCATCTGCATTTCTTTTGTGAGTTGTCTTTGATTATTTCTATTGAGGATAATCATTTTTAATTAAGTTGAGAGATTTATATTTTAAAAGAAGTGTAAAACTTAATTTGTGACAATTTTTGTTTAGTACCAATGATTTCTGTAATATGAATGCTTGTAATCTTTTTTTTTTTTAAAGATTTATTTATACAAGACTGGGTACAGTCAGAAGCGTGTGAGGGTGAGAGAATTCACCAGAGCCAGGGTGGAGAACAGAACAGGCAGAATAAATTAAACCGGCGCTGCAGAGGCTGTGGGCAGCTTAGCAACCCAGCGCTCAACGGCTGGGCCACCAGGGAGGCCCAAAAATCTTGTAATCATTATGAAGTCAAATGTACTGGGTTTTCTATGTGACTTTCCCCCACCCCCACTGCCTATTTTTATGTTCAGAAAGTTCATTTCTGAAAGATACCAATTATCCATGTATATTTTATTCCATCTTTTTATGTATACATATACTAATCTTTGAACACCACAAAACAATTCACTTGACATTTATTTTGGAGCTCTCCATGAACAAGGTATATACTTGAATAATAATGATCTAATTTGAAATCTATAACCTGGGTAGTTTTCTCACAGCCTTACTAGACATGCTATCTTGTTCATTTTATAAGTCGGCCTTTATTATGTATCCTGAAAGCTCCTTTTATTAACAGGGACTTCTATATTTTATTTGTCTTTCTCTTTTCTCCTGTAACTGTGGCAATTCACTATGTACAAAAAGCATTTAATTTGATAAATAGATATATTAGAATTTTAAGCACTGAGAATTACAGATGGTTGACTCATTTATCATAAAGGAATAATACTTCAATTACTTAAGGTGAACAGGGTTGCCTAGTTGGCAAAATGTTGGATAAATGTTTATCAGACAATAAAAGTAACAAGTTCTTAGGAATTTTTCACAAATGATGAACAGGGGTTAAGAATGAGGCCCGGAAATGAAGGGTGTTATTCTACACCAATTCATATACCGTGTTGTAACCAAGATTGTCTCAATTAAAAAAAAAAAAAAAAAAGAGTGGGAGCAAAAAAAAAAAAAATGAGGTAGCAGAGGGGTTTGGGTACTGCATAAAGGAAATCTTTATGGTGATAAATCAGTTCTTTATCATGAATAAAGTGGTGATTGCATGAATCTACACACAAACACACACATGCTATAAAACTGGTGAGATCTGAATAAGGTCTCTGGAATATACCAATGTTCATTTCTTGGTTTTGATAGTTTACTTGAGCTGGGTAAGTAGTTACCACTGAACTAACTAAAGGATCAGTTTGAACTGATCTCTTTGATCAGGATCTCTTTGAACTATTTTTACAACTTTTGAGGACTATATGATGATTTCAAAATTAAAAGTTAAAAAAAAAGTTTGCATGAAAAATCTGAAATTAGCAGAAATAGCTCCTGCATTCTTTTAAATGCTAAAAGATATTATTTAGTTGTTTCAGATAATATTTTACATGTACAATTTCAATTTTCAAGTAACAACAATGGAAAATTCTACCTTGGCTGGTCCTCCTCCAGAACTAGTGAACAAAACACTGAGTAATGAGATGACAACAATATCACTGTGTTCAAACAGCAGCAAAGTCCTACAAAAAGAAGACATTATTATTCATGAGGCCTTTATTATTCCTCTGATCTTTATCAGGAAGCATTAATTCAACTATAGAATATAAAATTATTTCTCTTTGATTTCATAAAACATTATTAGTAAAATAAATAGGTATAACTGCTTTGGAAAATACACTGGCATGATCTATCTAGAAAGGGTGAGGATAAAACACCCAAAAGTACAACTTGCAGGATTATACAGTACAGATTTCTTATATATGTATGCCAGGAAATAAAAGACTGCTCCATAGCCACACTGTTTACAGTAGCCCCAAAGCAGAAGCAACCTAAAAGTCCACTGTAAAGAGAACTGATAATACAGAGTAGCCATTCGATGGACTATTGTAGAAGTACTGAATTGTACACTTTAAAAATGCTGTAGCTGAATGTTTGTGTTTTCTTGTTCTCTAAATTCATATGTTGAATCCACTTGTGAATGTAACAATATTTGGAGGTGGGGCTTTAGGGTTATGTAGGTAGAGTCTTCATGAATGGGATTAGTAGCCTTAAAAAACAGACCACAGAGAGCAACTTTGCCCTTCAGCCTTGTGAAGTTATGACAAAAAGATGGTCATTTCTAAACCAAGAAGTGGTCCCTCACCAGTTGCTTCACTTTCATCTTGGATCTTCCAGCTACCAGAACTGTGAGAAAAAATTTGTATTGTTTATAAGTCACCCAATGTATGTTACTTTTGTTACAGCAGCTCAAATGGTCTAAGACCAAAAGACTAAATGTTAGTTTATGAATTATATATTTAAAAAATTACCATAAAAATCAAACATATCTTTATTTAGAAACATGGTTTTATTTTGGGGGCTGGATGTTGGAAGCATGAATGTTCAGTTTATTATTATTTAAACATATTTGTTTACTCTTTTATAGATATAAAATATTAGAAAAAGTTAAAAAATTATTAGTCAAGGGCTAATAGATCTAACTAGTCAAAGATTTTTAGCAACTTGTTGAAAAAATTTTCATTTTTACTCTTTACTCAAAAATTTGTTTAATGAGAAGACAATAGTGATAGCTTTAGTCCTATTAATATTTGGGATATTATAATTTTAGGAAAATAAGTAAGTCAACAGGGCAATACTAACATAAAATAAGACAGGCTATGAAACACCAAATGAGTCTTTTTAATCAAGAATTTGCATGATGGTTTTAGTAAAAGAATGAGAGGGGTTAGTATTGGCAGAGAAGCAGATGGTAGTGAGGATTTACAAGAGCTGGAAGATGACTATGGAGCCAAGTAAGAATTGTAGAATTGGGCCTCCCCGGTGGCACAGCGGTGGAGCGCTAGGTGGAGCGCTAGGTTGCGAAGGTTCGATCCTGGCTGCTCCCCGGCCACCATAGGAGGGTCCCACATGGCGTGCAGACCTCTCCTGCCGCTCCCCTCAGCAGTGTACTTGGGTCCTTCTGCCTGCTCTGCTCCCCGCTCTGGCTCTGGTGAATTCTCTCACCCTCCCGTGCTTCTGACTGTACCCAGTGCTTGTATGTATGTATTAATCAATCAATCAATCAATCTTTAAAAAAAAAAAAGAATTGTAGAATTGCCCCCCACCCCGCCTCCTTATCCTGACACGTAGGAATAGCGATTTAATAACATACAAACCAAGACATAATGAATAAGAAATTTAAAATATTACAGATAATAAGCAATAAATACACCATTCAATCATGTTCATAAAAAAACTGAAAAAGCTCTTCCCAAGCTGAAAAATTTCAGTCAGCTTTCCCTTTACTCCAGGGTATTGCTGCTTTCATAAACAGGGATATGATATCTAGAACTATGCATACTCTGGGTCTGAGTAAGTATAGGGTTAACAAGCCGAAGGGACCCAAACCCAGAAGCTAATTTACTACCTGTGAGAGGGGAAAGGAATTTTCACACAGTATTTCCTACCTATCATTTTATATTTTGTCTTCTCCAGAATTCTGAATGAGATTTTTTTTTTTTCTGAGAGATTTTTAGAATATCCTTAACTTCCTCCTTACCTCTCCTCATATTCCTCCCTCATCAATGACAAGGTACTTTTTCTTTTACTTTTATCTAATAAATAAAACCCTTTAGAGACAGAAATATTAAAAGAATAATTATGTATAGTTGCAAATGTTACAATTAATTTTTATTATATTAAATGACTCTTAAGCATTTCTTCCTCTGAATTGGCACATTTACACAACAAAGATTTCATAGATCTAGTAGAATCATTCTTAATCTGATGACTGAAATATCATTCCCAACACACTTGTTTACAACAAAGTATTTTAATCATTTTCCATGTGTATAAGACTACTTTCAGAAGTATCCTTAAAAAAAAAAAAAAGTTAAAGATTTTGTTCTCCTCCATATTTGTTGATTCTATTTACCATTGTAGAACTTTTAGTTTCTAAAATCAGCTGTTAAAAGGATCACCTACGAATGATTAAAAAAACAAAAAAGCACCACTATGACAAATGTTTTCTCAAACTCTCTCAACTCAAACTAGTAAAATATCTGTGACATATCATAAATAATATACTAAGGGTATTCACCAAAGAGCTAATCCATAAGCTAATAAATCTCTTTCTCTCTGTTTAAGTTGTTGTAGCCAATGCTATAGAAGTGATAGAAGCATTTGTACACAATTTGACATAAATATTGAACATAAAATTTAGTGGAACAAAACTAATATTCAAAATGAAGACATATAAACCTTTGAAATATGTATTTTTATTTACCTTAGTGGTCCACAAAGAGTAAGGCCAAAAAACCACAAGAGAGAAATGATACACCCAGCAACTGCATGTTTAAATATTTTGATCCACTATAAATGGAAACAAAAAATAAAACTTCAGTTACCTTTTGCTCAATAGCTCAGAATCGCAAATGATACACAGGAAAAGATATTAATGGAAACATAAATATTTTAAAGGCTAAATAATGACATATTTTGAAATTAAATAGAAAATGTTAAGATCCCATTGACTAAGTCTAGAGTTGCAAGACAGTATTCTATTTTCCATTTTTATATTCTTATCTGTTGTTAGAACTTGAAATCTTTTAAAATAAAGTACATTTTTCTGTGTTTTTTGTTTTTCCATTGGTTTCTCATTAGGTAGCGAGTAACAATGTTTTATTTTTTAAATTCTTTTTCATCAGGAATATTCAGTGCTTCATTTATTTGAAGAGAGAAAAAAAGCCAAGATGGGACTGATTTATTTATTATTAAAAATATTTTATTTTATAATTCTTACATCATTTTTCATCTTTGCACAATGTATGCATTTTCATTATGGTTATATTCCCCATACAATTGCACCCCCCCTTATTTTGACTCTAGTCCTTCCTCTCCCTGTCCCACCCCACCCCCTGCTTTGAGTGAGGCCATCCAAGATGGGATTTAAAACAGTAATCTTTTTAAAAAATGTTCTTGGTCACTAAAACAGACACCTCTTAAATTTGCCATTCTAATTAAAAAAATCTTGGCATTGATTTCTAAGTTGTGGCATAAAACAAAAATATCATACGTATAAGTAGCTTCTGTCTCAAGAGGTGATAATGGGAGATAATTGTGCAGGACATTTCCATTAGGAATCTTAAACCTGAGGTGCCTGAAGAGAAATGTGATAATGATAAGGGTGACAGCTAATATGTACTATGTACTCACTAAATGCCAGGTGCTGTTAAAAAAATTTTTTTATGTATTGATTTATTTATTCCCCACAGCTCCATTAGGAAGGTATTACTATCTCCAATTTACAGGTGAGAAAATCAAGGTAGAGAAATTAAGTAACTTGCCATAGTAAGAGCTAATAAGGAGGACTGACAACATATGAATTTGTCTGACTCTAGAGGTCTCATTTAACCTCTATGCTTTATTGCCTCCCAATGACATTCTGACATAGGTTCTTGGGCATATTTCCATGTCTGATTTGTAAATCTTTTGGAATAAGGATCCTGTATTAAAGGAAACAATTACAAACATACTTTAAGTTTTTCTACCCTTTTTCTGCATTTTAAAACATTCCAATTTATTCTTGCAGCCTCAATTCTGGACAAGTCAAGAGCACGATAACTCTGGAAATCCTCTGCTGTGTACTTAGATAATCTGTAAGTAATCCTGATCAGAGAAAGAACGTTGTATCCTAGATCCTCTGAGTGGGAAGCTGTTAGAAGAAAAAAGAATGCAAAAAACTCACCTGGTGTTTGCTAAGACTTTTTCCAGAAGAAAATGGCTTTTGAAACAAAACCATAAGAAGTGCAGTCCTGTAAATATTGAAACATGAATATGTTAATATTAATCAATCTCATATATGGGTATGGTTTTAAGTTAAAAACACTTAAACACCTTTTAGTACAACTTGGAGAAATATGTTATCCTTTGAAGAAATCATACTGGAGAACTATACTTATTTTAATAAGGCCTCATTGCAACATTTTAGGAACTCTTATAACTGCCCTCACAACCACACACAAATAATTTTTCATACTGTCAAATACCAAAGAAAATAATTCTTCAAGATTTAGTAAGACCTAATCTTAAAATAGAAAGAATTATATGTCCTTATATTTCACATTCTCAAAATAGTTATATAAAAATGCAAAAAACTGATGCTAAATCTCCTAGCTATGATTACTAAAATCAATCTTTAACAGATTTTTATTAATACAGAGGGTGGTCACTGTTATTCTCAAAATTCAGAGAATTCTTATTTAGATAAAATTTCTTACTATATGCAGAATAATGTAAAATTTGAACTATACGAGCACACTATGTTATGAAGGGAACAGATAGTGGACATAGTCTGACATGGTTTAACTTAGAAAATAAGGAATATCTGTGTCAAACAAGTTTCAGGCAACAATCTATTCCTGCAGGAAGTTTGGGTTATACCAGTGGTACGGTCTGGGAACCCCCAGAGTCTCTAAGACTTTTTTAGGGAGTCTGTGAGGTCAAAATTATTTTTATAAAAAAACTAACACACTTAGCCTTTTTCTCTCTTATGCTCTCAGGGGTATACATTGAAGCTTTTCAGAGGCCAGCTCATGTGACACACTGTGACAGATAAGACTGAAGCAGTTATGAGACTCCAGCTATCTTCTATTAAGACAGAAATTAAAATAAATTTGCAAAAATCTCATTAACACAAACTAAACTATATATTTGGCAAGCTATTAGAGTACAATAATAATTTTTTTTTTAAAGATTTATTTATTTATACAAGCACTGGGCACAGTCAGAAGCACGGGAGGGTGAGAGAATTCACCAGAGCCAGAGCGGGGGCGGGGCAGAACAGGCAGAAGGACCGAAGTACACTGCTGAGGGGAGCAGCGGGCGGCAGGAGAGGTCTGTGCGCCATGTGGGACCCTCATCAGGCGGCCGGGGATCGAACCAGCGTTGCAGAGGCTGCGGGCAGCTTCGCAGCCCAGGGCTCAACCGCTGCGCCACCAGGGGAGGCCCGAGTACAACAATTATTTTTAAAATCAATTTCTTTTTACCTTTAACCTTAGGTAATCACTTTTTTAGAAACAAGTATCGAATACTTGTTCAGAGCAATAAAATGCACAAAATATTCTAAATAAGGTTTCCTAATGATACTTAGTTAAAATAGAATTTTCAAAGAAATAAACAATAGTAAGGGAATGTCACACTTACCCAAGTTTTAATATAAAAATGAACTGAACTATGTGAACTACTTTTAGGAGATCATATGACTCAAAAAGTCCCACAGCCTTCAAAAATTTAGTGAAACATAGTAATACAATATATTTCGTTAATCTGTGAAATAAAAACAGAAACAAGTTTCAATATCATTCAAATGACAGAGCACTCTAATTTTTTTCTTATCATAAAAGTAAGGTAAGTCTCTATAGAAATATAAATTCATATAAACAATAAATGAAACAAACAAACAAAAAAACCAAAGCAAATTCACCATCCTCATTGAGTAGCATTTTGGTACATATGAACGCTATAATAAAAGAAACAGCTGTTGAAAAAAAAAAGGACAAACTAAAATAAAAATATTCTTGGTTAACTGAATTGCCTGGACTATTTCGTAATGTGCTTTCTAAACTAAACGTTTATGCTAAACAAAGAATAAAAACAGAAACCAACCTAAAAGATTACACAATAGTAAGACATTAGAATGTTAAATGCCTTGGGTTTGCTCCTTCTTGCTTTGCTAAGTGATTGCAGTGAGGGTCCTCGCTGAAAAGTCAAGAACCTTACAGCAGCCAGTCCTGAAAAGACTCAAGAATCGGAAGGACCGCATAAGGGGAGCTGAAAAGATCATCATTCTAGGTAGTTAGATCTCCAGATTCCCACCCAGCAGAAGCAATCAGCAATCCTTCTTCAATCATGACAAGACATGAGGCTTACTCTGGCAAGATCTAGACACAAGGCACAGAAGAAAGGGAGAGTAAGGCAATGGGCTAAAATCACGGCGATTAAAAGAAATTTCCCTTCTTAACCTCCTTCCCCCATTTAACTCCGATATCCTAACAGTCAGGCTTCCATCTCCCTGTAGGATAACCCTTCTTGAGAACCCTTCTTGATTGGAGGTTCTAGTAGAGGAGCATAGCTACTCATACACCTTTGACCAAGGAACGGGAACCTCTCTGTTCCAGGGAGGCAGTCCTCTTGTGCCCAGCTCCAGCCCGCAGCTTTGTGAGGGATGCACATGGTGCCATGAGGGAGGAAGGGGCCTAGCCAGCAAGATCAGCCCAATCAACCCTGGAGATCAGTGGAGTGACATGTCACAGCTAGATTGCTCTCACATCCAGGAGAACCTGTCTTTGGAGAAGCCCACAAGAGGACAAGTCCTCCACAGGTCTTGTAAGTAGTTCCTTAGGTCTCACTCAAATATGAATGCCAAACATGGTTAATCCTTTAAGGTGAATCAACAACAAGATCCTGTTCCTAGTAAGAGTCCAAGGAAACAAAACACAACAACAAACAATTTAAAAGAGATCTCAGGGGATAACAGAAAATGATAGGTAAAGAACTATAAATAATACTCTCTGAAAAATAAGATTATCAGATCCATGAAAAAATTAAGCTACCATAAAAAGAAAAGAAAAAAGAGCTCCCAAAAGTGAAACTAGAAAATAGAGAAGCATCAATCTGTTTTCTAGCTTACTGGTCTTCTTTGGTCATATATCTCTAGTAATAATATATTTGAGACCCATTACTTATCTGTACATTATAAACATGTGCTCCATATTGTTACAGATGCTATCAAACATAAATTAGATATTAAAAAGAACGCTAAAAGGATGAGAAAGTTTAATATCCCCTCCCCATAGATTATCTTGTGTAGCCACTCAGCAGATCACATTTTAAGTTTACATCAACTAGATGGTAATACACTACAAAGGAGGTTTAAAGGATATACAAGGCCTATATACTGACAGGAATGAGAAGTCTCTATCAATGGGAGATAAAAACATTAAAAGCAGATGTATAAGTTTGAAGAAAATCTAAGTCAAACAGTAACGTCACAATCTGATACACCATGGGGGCATCAATGTTTATAGGGTGGTATAAAAATTGATGAGTGTGAATCATCAAGGACCATGGTACTCAGTCGATAAGAGAGCTAAATTATAATAAACAGTAATTTGTTTAAGTGTACCTTAGGAAGATTTTGATGCAACTATTAAATTTCAATCCTTGAAATTTAGGATGGTTCATTTCCTAGGAAATCTAGGATGGATCATTTCCGATTTTAGTCAGGACAATGTCATACTAAATTAAATTAGATTTGGTGCAAAACAGTTTTTAAAATTATGAACATAATCTGGGGGTGCCTTTTGATAGTGTAATCTGGGGATTTGAATGATGTGGTGATTAGTCACCTAGAAGTTAATAAAAATGCTACTGTGGAACAATAGAGTCACATCCTGAAGCATAGACATTATTACTTAACTCACCTGTAGAATATTATAAACTTCATTACAATTTCCGTTTAAAAGATCAAGCAGATTTTCTGCGGTGATGAAAATGTACTAGAGCTTAGTTGTAATGAAAGTTACACAGGCATCCATTTGTGAAAAGTGCTAATTGGTACCTTTAAAATCTATGAATTTTACTGCATGTAAAATATATCTCAATGAAAAAAGTGTTAGAAATAAACTTAAAAGTGTCATTATAGTACCCCCCCAATCAAGTTTATTTGATTCTCTGTTATCTGTACCCTGACTAAAAACATGCAACATGGAACATCTACAACATGGAAAATCTACCAAATCCCTATCTAATGTCTAGGTATGAAAATAAATGTACATATGTACCAGTAAAATGGAACACTAACATTGGGCCTCCCCTGGTGGCGCAGTGGTTGAGCGCTGGGCTGCGAGGCTGCCCGCAGCCTCTGCAGTGCCAGTTCGTTCCCCAGCTGCCGGCGAGGGTCCCACCAAAAAAAAAAAAAAAAAAAAAAGGAACACTAACATTAAGAGTTTTTAACATTTAGAGTTTCTCTAACCCAATTCCTGCACTCAGATTGCACAGTTGAACCCCAGAGTACCAGCTGGATTCAAAAACACATCTCTGAAGTATGTTCTTAATATGTAACACAGAAAGTCAAAGTTCATCCAAGAGGCATTGAGGGTTCCCATCTTCAAAACTGTTCCCAATTATGCATTCACATTGACCCACATGTACAGTAAAATCATCTTTAAATATGAAAGACAAAATGCATATTTAAACCTAACATTAATTTACATTTTGACCAATTTAAGCTAGAGAAAAAAGTCATATAGAGGCTAAATACATTAACTTATTAACATCAAATATTCTGATGATGGCAGCAATTCATAATTAGACAATAATAATAACATTTGAGCTAGAAATCCTTTAACAGTTCCTAACATAGAGACTTGCATACTTTGTGCTCAGAATGTTTACCAAAGAATGCTAACTCTAATTACACTTGTGTAATATAGTAATGTCTAGTAAAGTATTATACTACACCAGCGGCATACAAGCTACTGGCAATTTTTTTTTTTAAAGATTTATTTTTTTAATTTATAAAATAGCTGGGGTACAGGCCAGAGGTGTGGGAAGGTGAGAGGATTCCCCAGATACAGAGTGGGGAACAGAACAGGCAGAATGACCGAAATACACCGATGAGGGAAGCAGCAGGCGAGACAGGAGAGGTCTCCTGCACCATGTGGGAATCTCCCTGGCCAGCCGGGAATTGAACCCGTGCTGCTGACAGCCTCACAATGCTGCGCTCAACCCACTGTGCCACCGGGGAGGCCCGCTACTGGCAATTTTGACTTAGCAGCAGCCCAGTTAGGACTTCATAATAAAAGAAAAGAATGAAGTAAGTAAGGGAGAAGCTCAAAACCTCACGATGTACTTGTTAAGCTCTTAAGTAGGTGTAAAAATAAGGCAGCAGGATATACTCAAGGACAGAAAAAATAACACTATCAACTAGATGGGGAAACAAAACACAAAGACCAGGAAAAATAGAAGTAAATGAAAAATCACAGCATTGTAGGAACTCTTGATGTGAGCAAAGAGTCTTGTATATCCTCTAGGGTGTTATTTAGCAATTCTTCAAATTGTCCTTGCTCACTTACATAAAATGCCAGATGTCATATGCGGTCAATGATACCTAAGGGAAGCCTGACAGGGTACATTCAGGTATGCTTTCTCTCTTCCTGGTAAAAGGGCAAACTGCAGCTGGAACTACTACTTCTGCCTTCTTTCTGCTTTTAAGGGAGAACTTTTATCTAAAATTTATCTAAAAAATGTTTTTGGAATGTTAACATCATCTGAAAAAGTTACTCATTTTATAACAATCCTGAACAGTGAATAGTGTCTTACATTTAGTAGACACTTGAATTTATTGAACGAGTTGAATTTGAGTTACAACACTGAATTTTTTCCTCCTGAGGAAATGTGAGCTGTTGCACTAGGCAAGCCCTAAGGAGGTTTGAACTTAAATCTGAATTCCATTACATCCAGAAGTTCAGTAAATTTCAGGTGTTATATAGCAATTACTATAATGACACTTTTAAGTTTATTCCTAACACTTTTTTCAGGAAAGCCAATACAGACAAAGGGCAGAGAGCAAAGACAAAGAATCTGGTTCCTTGAGGTGGAACAATTACCAACATTCCCCCGTTTCTTTTATGTAGCAAGCCCAGGTTCCTATTGAAGTTCTCTTGATTTGGTTACTTACAACAAAACACATTTCTAAGCACTATCCAAGACACTAAATACCTATGTAATAGAGATCTTGCCTTCAAAGAGTTTGAGGTTTAAGAAAAGCAGGCAAAAAGTATTTATGTGATGCAGGTTAGAGTTCTAAAGGAATCGATATGGAAACAACTAAATTGAACCTGGGAAAAGAAGGTCATCTTCAGAATCTGAGATGGCTGTGCATTAAAAAGGCAGCAGGAATTATGAAACCAGGAAAGAGTATGTCAAACTACAGAGAGCAGTAAATGCAAAATACTAGTACGGAAGGAGTTTTTGAAGAAATGACTTGTATATAAGTTCAGTTCACCAAGTGATGCTCTAGTAAGCCATTATAATGAGTAAATTACATTAAAAAAAGATGAAGCAACATGTAAAATTATTTCCAGATAATATTTGTTAAAGTATCACAAAACTAAGAAAGTTGACACTGAAGAATGGCAAGACTCAGTCATATGCAACTGGTAAAATACTTCCTGGTAACATTACTATTATCTTTCTGACACTACTATCTTTATCCCCTTTTTAAATTTTGAGAGATCACAAAATTCCCAAGTAGTTGGTTGTTTAAAAAAAGTTTTAAATAAAATCATTCCCAATTTCTTCTTAACAGGTGAGCAACTGGGTATATCCTTCCTTACCTCTCCCTCTTTATCTCTTCATAGGAACATACATATATTTTGGATACATTCACATTTATCATTGTAGGCATATTTCAATATTGCGGTGTGATTTTTCACCAAATACATATTGATGATCATTTGTTACCATCATTAAGGCAGGAAAACTATTTTAACATTTAGTTAGAAGTTGGATTCTTTGATTTTAAACTCCCAGTTAAAGTATTCCTGTTGGGCTAAAGATGAAACACTATCTAAGGTCAAGTAACCATATACTAATCAATAGACATTTCCAGTTCATGCTGCAGAGAGAAAAAGTGAACATCTTCATTTACTATTAGGAGTAAAAGATGGGAGTGGGGGTGGGGTGGTGGTGAGCAAGGTCCATCACTAAGGGGCAGTGGCTCTCAGCAACTTACTGACCTGGGCGACTTACAGTTCCAACCCACCTTCCCAATTTATAAATCATTATTTTCCATTAACTAGCTTCATCAAAAATGTCACTGGTCTATTCTGTGAAGGATTAGAAAATCTCTGGTTCTCTGAACCTGAAATTTACTGAACTTCTGGATGTAATGGAATTCAGGTTTAAGTTCAAACCTCCTTAGCTTTTGCCTACTGCAACAGCTCACATTTCCTGAGAGGGAAAAATTCAATGTTATAACTCAAATTCAACTCGTTCAATAAATTCAAGTGTCTACTAAATATAAGGCACTATTCACAAGGCAAAGGGTTATTGATTCCTAGTTCAGTTACCAGGTGTGAGACCTTGGGAAATGTACTTAGTTTTTCTACTTCTCAGTTTCCTGATGTGGGAAATAAGGATGCCACTATCTTGGTCTACAGCACTGTTGTAATGATTGTAAGATGCTGTACTCAAAGCTCTTGTAACACAGGAGGTGCTTAATAAATGCTGGCTAACACCTCTGCTCTTTACTGCAAAGAGGACTTACAGAGCTAAAATAGAAGCATTTTAAAACAATTCATATTTGTGAACACAAGCATAAAAATATCCACAGTAAAGGGACATGTCAGGTTTTGTTGCAGATTATAACTGCTATTTGAGTTTTAATCCATATAAAGGAAAACTCTTGCTACCTGGAATCTATTAAAAATCAGTTGAGTTGAATTTGATACTGCAAAGAACAATAGGCCAGTTCTACTAAACACACAATGCAAATAAGTAGCCAAAGAACTGTACACCACATCTAAAGACAATAAGCTGACTAAAAAGAATTTAAAAAGAATTTTAAACTACTTTAAAGGAATTTCAAGTTCATAAAAAAGTTGCAGAAATAGTGAACCCTTTATCTAGATTCTCTAATTATTTAATCTATCATCCCATTTACCTTCTTTCTTTCTAAACAGACTTTTCCCCTGAACTCTTTAAGAGTAAGCTAAATACATCATGCTCCTTTACCCCTAAACACTTGTATTTCTTAAAGACATGGACATTCCCCTATAAAAGTCAGTAGTTATCAACTTCAAGGAATTTAACATCGATAAGACTTTAATATAATCTATCGTCCATAGTCCAATTTTGTCAATTGACCTGGTAATGTCCTCTAGCAATTTATCTGCTGCACTACCAAACCCAGACCAGAATCCCTATTTCATTTAGTTGTCATGCTCTCAGTAAATAATATCTGATATGCCTTTGTCAAAATAATCTTTAAATTTCAAAGGAAGTATTCAATGATGAAAACCACCTCATTAAAAGTGAAAGCAATGAATAGCAGTTCCAACCAAATTTCTGGGTCATGTTTTATGCATCTTTGACACTACCTTAGAACTCAGGATTAGATCAGTAAGGACACATTTGAAAGTGGTCACTGTACTTACCTCTTGTGGATTAAAGGGAGCATTGTGGAGAGAGGTAAAGGGGACTTTTCACTTTTCTACTCTATCAATTTCTGGACTGTTTGATTTTTTTTTTTTAACAATCACCACGTTTCTTATTAATAAAATAAAACCAAAAAGTAGAAGAAAATTAGATGGGCTGGATTCTTGATGTGCGGGGTTAACCTGACCATCGAAGCTCATCTGTTTGTACTTTGGTTTCTTTGCCAGAAGAGACAATGATGACACTAATCCCTAAGTCATGCAGAGGCGTCAGAAAAGTTAAGGAGCCACCAAACTATTTCAGGGAGAAACAGAAAACAGAAATATTTTTCATAGATCAGAAAAAGCTCTCCCGTGAACTGGCTGGCAGTTCTATGGCTGGAAACCTTAGAACCTTGAAACCTTGCCTTGAAAACCAAACACCCTCAAGTAGAACCTGGAGGATTCATTCTGCAGCGGGCAACAGATGAGCCAATGAAAGCTACGGGCGGCCTGGAAGCAGTGGGAATGAGGACGGAGGGTTCTGGGGCGCGAGCTGCACCAAGCAGGCGTTCCGCGCTGTCAGGGGGACGGTAGGGATGCGGGCTCCACCTGCACCGGGCTGGAGTCCCGGGCAGCGGCCGGGGAAGGTGTGTCCCGAGCGGCCCGGCTGGCAGCTGCCGTCCGGGTCCGAGAGCGAGCCGACGAGCGCAGGCGCGGAAGAGAGCAGCTCGGGAAGCGGGAGCCGATCGGTCCCTTACCGAGCACTGGGCACGTCCACCGGCCCGAGGCCCCCGCCGCCGCTACCAGCGGGGCCGGCTAGCACGTCCCCGCCGTACTTCTCTTCCATCCCGGGGCTCAGGAGCCACCGCTGCTGCCCGTGCCGCGAGGTCTCCTCATGTCTCGCGGCTACTGCGGAACAGCGGGCGCAGGCGCGTCACTCCCCCATGGCAGCGGTTCCGTAGGGTCCCCCCAAGTTGGACCGGCAGCACCGCTGTTCCCGACTCCCGCTCACAAGCACACGCTCGTCGCGACTAGGCCGCGGGCAGTTCCGGCAGCGCCGGGTTCCCAGGAGGCGCACAGCAGCAGACGTCGCCCGGCCACGTCATCGGCCCAGCAGCCTTCACTCCCGGGGGAGTGCCCAGCCCTGCGCCTGCGCAAGACAAATTACTCGCCTTTCTTTGCCCTTTCTTAGGCTCCTCCCACCGGGGGTGACGTAATGAATCCTCGCCCCCAATAGCCCCGCCCATTAACGCAGAGGCCTGCGCACAAACCTGTTCCTGCCGCGCCACCTATGGGCGGTCAGGGACTCAGCGGGTTCATGAAACGTAGAGGTGGGGGCATAGAAATGCACAATGTATGATTAATTTGAACAGCATTTCTTTTAAATTCTGCCTGCTAAACTGTGATGCTTAATCCAGGCACGTCTGCAAAACCAGGCCAGGTAGGCCCAGGTCTGTTAGGGTTATTTTCTGTTGCCAAAAAGTTAGGAAGTGGGCTCCTGTTTCTCTTGATTTGAATCCGGCTCTGCCTCTTATTAATTCTGTCGATTGGACTTTATGTGCTTTAATTTTCTTAGCTGTAAAGTAGGAGTTATACCTATATCATAAAGTCGTTGGGAGGTTATGTATGTTAACACATGACAAGTTAATATGAATGATATGTCGTAGTAAATGTTAGCTATTTTTATTACTCATAAGGAAATTTGGGGGCCGGGATGAAATGATGTTTTGAGCAGTGTAAAGTATGATTAGTTTTCAATATTATACATTTATTTTTTGAGTAGAAGAACTGGGGTGTAGGCGAGAGTTGCAGGGGGTGAGGATTCACCAGAGACAGAGTGGGGAGCAGAACAAGTGGATTTACTGAAATACACTAGTAATGGGAGCAGCGGGTGAGACAGGAGAGATCTGCTGCGCCATATGTGTGTTAGCTCCCTGGCCAGGAGCCAACTCAGGCCATAGTGGTGGAAGCTCTGAGACTTAATCCCTAGGCCACCAGGGAGGCCTGACAATATTATACTTAATGAAAGTATACACAGAGGGTCTTAATAACATGTAAAAGAATGAGGAATCAGTCTCTGCTGGAACTTCATCATCTATTGTAGAAATTATTTAGCAATTTGAGAGCAAGCCCTGGCTGTTAAGATTACACTTGAAAGGCACAAATGCTAAGGTCAAATAAGGTGTGACGTGGATATAACCAGAAGACTCGCAGATAAAATATGACCTAGATCTTGGATAAGGTTTTGGACATGGGAGAAGGGCATTGTGGGTAGACACATCTTATGTGTCCTGTGTAGAATACTGTATTTAAAAGATGAAGACACATTTTTTTTTTCAGATTTGAGGGAAATAAGTGTGAAGATATAATATTCCAGCAGCTGTCTTGTGGGCTTAATTGTTTTTGATTAAACTTTTAAAAATTGAAGTAGTATTAGTTTACAATATAGAGGTTTCAGGTTTACAGCCTTTTATTTGGGGGATTTTAATTCAGGATCTTTCATAGCATGTTTGTTTATTTAATTTGTATTAAAACATCCATATCTTTTGCCTGCTTCATGTGATAGTCATTGGCCCAAAGTGGGGGGGGGGATCTGGTAACATTCCCCATTTTCACCAAGGGACTTTTTTGTAGCAAATTTTTGGGTAGCAATTTATTTGTAGAGTTGTTTTCTATCAGAATGGCATTGTAAGAAGTAACTATTGTTTTTTCACAGAGATAGCTTAATTCCTTCAGAGTTCAGGGAACTAGTAAAATAACATTTATTAATTGAGATTAAATTTCGTCCAAGTGGAGCCTGAATTCAGTTGATAATTTTGACTTAGTGATAACTCCACTTTGTGTGTATGTGTGTGTTTATGCCAATATAAGTACACTTCATACTTTTTTTTTTGTGGTGGAAGTACCTCTGCTTTTTTTTCTTCCTCTCCTCATCCCAATCTGCTTGGGTTCTATGTTCATCCCTCCTCTGAAGCATCTCTCTCAGGGATATTTTTCAGCCATATGTTAACGTCATCTTTCTGTAGTTTCAGTAGAGTTGATTTTGCTCTTCTTCTTTTCTTTTTGTTAAGGATTTATTGGGCCTCCCTGGTGGTGCTAGGGGTTAAGCACAGCACTGTGAAGCTATCCGCAGCCTCTGTAGCAGGAGTTCGATCCCTGGCCAGCCAGGGGGCTATCCACATGGCGCAGCAGAGCTCTCCTGTGTAGCCCGCTCTTCCCCTCAGCAGTGTATTTTCAGCCAGTCTGCCTGTTCTGCTCCCCACTCTGTCTCTGGTGAATCCTCTCACCCCCTCCACTCCCACACCTCTGGCCTGTACCCTAGTTCTTGTATGTGTATATAAATAAATCTTTAAAGAAAAAAGAGGTGCAGAGAGTGAGACAGAGTGGGGAGTAGAACACGCAGATCTGCTGAAATATACTGCTGAGGGGAGCAGTGGGAGAGACAGGAGAGGTCTGCTGTGCCATATGGAGTGCCATGAGGGTCAGCTCCCGGAGCTCAAACTGCCCGGGAGCTCAAACTCTATCCTGCAGTGGCTGTGGATAGATTTGTAGTGCTGAGACTTAACCCCTCGCACAACCAGGGAGGCCCCTCGCTTGTCTTGAAACCTTTTCTTTCCTTGGTTTTCAGAATCCCACCTTCAGTTGTCTCAATGGAAGCTCAAGTAAGTTCTTTATGCCCAAAAGTAAACTCATGATCTCTCCCCTAATCCTCTCTTTGCCTTTCCCTGATCCTCTTCTGTTTTCTATCTCATTGATGGCACCATTCAGTTTAGTAAGCCAAAAATTTACGTACCATCCTTTATACCTCCCCTTCCTAGTGGTCTCTATTCAGTTCACCACTGAGTCATGTCATTTTTTTTAAACCTTGTCAATATTTCTTGAATCAATCTAAAATTTTCCATCTGTATTACCACCCTCAAGTCTAGGCTACCATCTAATCTCATTACTAGTCTTTTCAAGTTCACTCTTTACCTTCTCCAATCTCTTTCTCACATCTACATTAATATTTTTCAAGTGAAAATCTTACAATGCACTTATTGCCCTTCTAGACTGCTGAACTCTACCTTCCCACTTTCTGGTGGCTTTCTATTACTATTAAGAAAAACTCAAGTCATTAATATGGTCAACAACATATTGCCTGGACTTGCCCCATTTTGTCTTTACAGCTTTACCTCACATCAAGCTGCCCTGTGATCTCTGGATTCTATTTGCCCCCTTTTCTTCAATTGTGCTATTTATATTTTAATACTATTCTAATACAATTCAAACTATTTTCCGTGCCTAGACTACTGCTCTCCCCCGCCTTCAATCTTTGCTCATTGAAATCTGCTCGCTCTTTTTTGTTACAGGTTGAGTCCTCTGTGAAGCAGACACTGAAATAGTTTAGTATGTGGATATTTATAAAGGTGTGCTTTTGAGACTAACAAATATATAGGGAAAGAAAGGAAAAAAAAATTGGGCAGAGGGAGAAGTTGATAAGTGGTGTAGTCTAACAGAAGTCTCAGTGTATCTCCTGGAGACCTTTGGAGCTGACACGGTTTCTCATTAAAGTCTTTTTTTTTTTTTTTTAAAAGATTTATTTATTTATTTATACAAGCACTGGGTACAGTCAGAAGCGTGGGAGGGTGAGAGAATTCACCAGAGCCAGAGCGGGGAGCAGAGCAGGCAGAAGGACTGAAGTACACTGCTGAGGGGAGCAGCGGGTGGCTGGAGAGGTCTGCGCACCATGCGGGATCCTCCTCTGGTGGCCGGGGAGCAGCCGGGGATCGAACCGGCGTCTCGGAGACTTCAGGCAGCTTCACAACCCAGCGCTCAACCGCTGCGCCACCGGGGAGGCACTCTTATTAAAGTCTTTTATAGATTCAGGAGTCAATACAGGATCAAGTGTTGCATTTACTTGCCATATCTCATGAGTTTTTTTTTTTTTTAATCTGTAACCGTTCCTGCTCTCTCTTTTTTCTTCATGACCTTGACATTTTTTTAAGAGAACAGAACAATTATTTGTAAAATGTCTATCAGTTTAGGTTTGTCTGATGTTTCCTAATTATTGAATTTAGGATATGCATTTTTGGCAGGAATACCACAGAAGTGGTTTTGTATTCCTCTCAATGAATCACATCTGAATCCACATTGTTTCATTACTGGTTAACTTTTGTCCTTTGGTAAGATGATGTAATATTATTAAATTATCAATAATATACAAATTATTCTATAAATTCAGTGCAATCCCTACAAAACTCCTAACTGGCTTCTTGAAAAATTGACAGGCATATCCTAAATTCTGTAGCCAATTTCCTAATATAGATACTGACTTCCTTAACTGTTTCCTCATATCTCTTCTGGCTGTAGGGTGGCTCCGTGGAATCCATTTTGCTAACACCATCAATTAGTTCTTGCACACCCAATATGTAATCCAGACGGGCATGCTCACGGGTCTTCCCATTCTTGGAAGCACAGGCTTCAAGTTCACCAACAGCAGCACCAACAAACAGGACAGCACAGTCAGCCTGAGATGCACCTGCCACCATATTTGGTAAGTTTCTATGTCCTGGGACATCAATGATAGTTACATAGTATTTACTGGTATTAAATTTGTGCAGGGAGATATCATGGTGATACCATGCTCATATTTAGCTTTCAGTTTGTCCAAGAACCAGGAATAATTGAAGGATCCCTTTTCTAACTCAGCAGCCTCCCATTCAATTTTTTTTTTTTTTTGATGGATCTTTCGTCAGTCCTACCACATTTGTAGATCAGATGACCTGTAGTGGTAGACTTGCCTCAGTCAACATTCCAATGATGATCATATTGCTATGACTCTTTTCCTTTCCCATTTTGGCTTAGTTTAGCTGTGGCTTTCATGACACCTGTACTCTGGCCGTAAACCTGTTACAGGAAAAAAGTACAACTGCATTTTAAAAGTATCTATATAGATACACATTTCATAAGTTTGTTATAATAAGTGTTTGTATCACAATGTTTTACATTTTAAGTCTCTTGATTACATGTTTTTATTTTCCCCTAATATTTTATTATAAATTTCAAACATACAGAAAGTTGAAAGAAGTTTACAAATGAACAGCTACATATCCAAAACATATATGTTACTATTAAGATGGAAAGCTTACTGTGCAATGCCTATGGTCATAATATTCTGGAACAGTGATCAGTTTTCAACACTTCAACTTGCTATATTTGTTCTTATTAATATTGAATTTATAGTTATCACTTGGAATTTTTGCATTCCCAAAAAAAGCTCCTTGGAACTGTGTAAGAAACAACAGCAAACTCTATTACATTATATACCTTAAAGGAAATTCAATGATGGCATAAGTAACCTGAGCTTAAGATAGTTGAATACACACTCTCCTGGGGAAGCTGAGGCAGATCTTATCACCTATTCATCTTCATCACATGGGATCTCTGTCATTCAGTTCAGTCCACCTAATAGACATTTGCTAAGCTCCATGTGTTTGTTGGGCACTGTGATAAAAAAGGAAGAGGAGAAATTTTTGAAACCACTAGAGGACGATATAATACAACACAAACCACCATAAATTTAGGCAGTACATGTTGCAAAACTGCAGAAAAAGGAAGGAGGAGCATCACAACATGGAATGAGTAGTGGAGGAAGCAGATTTGTTGTCTTCTCTTCTGTGGTTCTACTGCCAAGAACAATAGTGTGTACTAGTCTTTTCAGCACCCATTTTACAGACTAGTTATATATGACCTTTTCTAAAGTCAGTATGTACTTGGCTTTCCCTGTCTCCAGCAGATCTGCTTTTCAGAGAAAATTTACTTGCTCCTTTGCATGCAGTTGGATTTGAGAGCCTCGCTTGTTCTCATCATCAAATACTTTGGTTTGCCAAGAGTTAGAAATTGTAGTAGTTCATAACTAATTCTAAAAAAAAAGTTTTATTTTTTATTTTTTTAAAGATTTATTTATTTATTGATACAAGCACTGGGTACAGTCAGAAGCGCGGGAGGGTGAGAGAATTCACCAGAGCCAGAGCAGGGAGCAGAGCAGGCAGAAGGACCGAAGTACACTGCTGAGGGGAGCAGCGGGTGGCAGGAGAGGTCTGCGCGCCATGTGGGACCCTCCTCTGGTGGCCGGGGAGCAGCCGGAGAGCGAACCGGCACTGCAGAGGCTGCGGGCAGCTTCGCAACCCAGCGCTCAACCGCTCTGCCACCGGGGAGGCCCTAAAAAAAAAGTTTTATTGAAGCAACATTAGTTAATCGCATTGTATTCCTGGTGATTCCATATTCATATTTGAGAACCATTGGGCTCTCTCTCAAGAACTTGTTCTGGTGACAAAGGGAAAGAGAGAAATGGAAGCAGATCTGGGCTCTGCAGATGGAGGGCAGTACACAGATGCCAAGATGAAATCACGAGCTAGCAGAAGCTATGAATAACAAGCCATGAGGTAGAGAAAAGATATTCAGAGTGAGGTGTTTGGTTGATGGCAGTTGAGCTAGAGAAGCAGGAAAAGGGAGTTGCTGAGTCATAACGATAGCATGTCAGTGAAAAGAGCTGCTAAAGCAATCTGGGGTCCCTCATCACCACTGCTGCTTTGGTGCCTTCCAGTTTGGTAACTGCATCCAGGGTCTGTAGTCTGCTGTCCAATTCAGCTGCGCCTATGATTCCTGGTCATTGTCCCCCTAAAAATAAAAAGCTGAAGTGAGAGGCAATTGAGCATTTATTTTGGATCAAAATATTGCATTTTGGGTGATACACTTTTCAGGTGGAAATCTTATGAAATGTGTCCTGAGAAGAGGTAAAAGTTGGGGATTTTTATGGGAAGAAAAGGGATTCGTGAGGTAAGTAGAGAAGAGTTAATTAGCATTAACAAGCTTAAACTCTTCTTGGCTATCCATAATTGGTTACTGATTCTGTCCTCTGACTAAAGTACATAAATCATCAGTCTTTGTGATCAGGTTGTCTGTTCTGCTGCTGGGTTCTCAAACAAGTGTTCTTGAAAGAATTGCTGTTTGGCGCAGTTCAAGGGTCTTTTGTCCCAGTGCATACTGAAAACAGTTTCCACAAGGACAACTCTCACCCTGTGTTAAATTGACTCTACCTATGTTTGTTTTTCATACTGTGTATCATTGAGATTCCTATTTTCCTTAACTCTCTATGTAATGTACAGTATTTCCCCAGTACTTGAGGTAAGCTGAAGTTGCCTTGACATCACAGCCCTAAGTCACAGATACTCTGGTTTACTTTGCCTTATTTTAACTTATATACAATATGTAAGTTAAATCCTTGTGATGGGTGTGAACTGGGAAGTTTCTGTTAAGTTGATGTACAGCAAACAGAATCTCAGCTTCTCATAGGAACAAAAATAAAATTGGGGGATTATACTCTTGCCTTGGACCTTGATTCTATATAAAGAAGTGACTCATAAAGCTATATTTGTATAGTATTAAGTTGTCAAAATTGTAAATTGACCAAACAACCCACATGGCTGTATACTATATAAATTTACACTTACTATATAAATACTATATAAAATTATGATGTAAAATACTATATAAAATTATACTTCGAATGCTGTAATCTCATATAAGTCTTGTCAAAGTTTTTTTTTTTTTTAAAGATTTATTTATTTTTATACGAGAACTGGGGTACAGCCCAGATGCGTGGGAGGGTGAGAGGATTCACTGGAGACAGAGCGGGGAACAGAACAGGCAGACTGAAGAAATACACTGCTGAGGGGAGCAGCGGGTGAGATAGGAGAGGTCTACATTGCTATGTGGGATTATCGCCAGCCGGCCGGGATCGAACCCGCGCTGCAGAGGCTGCAGACAGTTTCACAGTGCGGCATTCAACTGCCTGCGCCACCAGGGAGGCCCTTAGTCAAAGTTCTTATCTTCATAATTCTGGCCTTATTTTTACTGTAAACATCAGAAGATGAACATATTATAACAGTCACAAATTGGGGAAATCTGTACAGGTCTCTTTGAGTAGATTTTTGGAGCCATGTAGCACCCTTCCTTATGCCCTAGTGAGAAACTAATTCTGAAGCATTCATTAATTTTTTTTTTTTTGGTGTTTCTTTTAAATCTCACTGCAAGTTTTCTGAAACAAGTATAAGCTCAAGTTTTTATTTTTTTCTTTAGAAACCCAAAACTTTTATGCTTTCTCGAGCAGCTCTTTCATCAGTTTTAGGAGCTGTTCCTTCATCCTGGATGTGATGCAAGCCACATCTATTTTTGAAATGCATGAAATATAAACAGGGACATTGGTTTGTTTCATCCGGAGGGTTGCCCAGCACAGTTTCATCACAGTTTTAATGAATTTGGCTGAAATGTGGGCTTAAATGCTGAATTTGAATCTGAATCCACCAAGTTTAAATTCTTCCCTTGTCAACAACCTCTGTAATTTTGCATGATTACTAGGATCAGTAGAGCGCTGCTCTCCTCCTGTTTTATAAGCTACCTAAGGAAAGTTTTCCATTTCGTGACATGGGGGTGGAATGAGTATTCACTCACACACATGATGTTGGAAATGCTGAGAACAATTTTGAAACCATAGAAATAATTTAGTAGGAGGACTAACTAGGCAGTTCCTCCCCTTCCTTCTGTTAGACAGTCAATTCAAAGATCTTACCATAAGTGCTTATTAACTCTAAATAGAAAATAAATTATTTCTGTCCTTTTCAGAGAAGGACAGAAAGTGCAAGTCTAGAGAGTTGATGTATCTAGGAAGAATGAGGATGGATGGGAACTGTTGTGAGTTACTGTATAATATTCTTCAGTTCAGATCACGTTAGTACAGAGGACACTTCTGAAAATAACACAAATAAACAGGGCAACCAGAGTCACTCAGGGATTGGGGATCTGTGCCAATAGCCCACCAACATAGTTTAGGGTACATACTTGGAATAGAGGCATAAGGAAATCATTTCTATGGAAAAATATAGTCACTGAAAGAATGAGTGTGGGTTTTTTCCCACTTAGTTTACAACTTGTTGGGTCTAGACAACAAATTGTCAAAAGGCAATCTGCAAGTTTTTTTTATTTTTATTATTTTTATTTTTTTTTTAATCTAAAAAGGAAAGAAAGAAAAAAGAATGAGAAAAAGAAAAGGCAGTCTGGGCTTTTGGGTGGACGAATGGCATTTGGAATAAAAAAATCAGTGGTTTGAAAAATTCCAAAGCAATTTATGTCAAAAATGAGTGGATTTGAAAGTTTAATAGATTTCTAATGTTAGGAAGTTTTCCTGGAATTGAGGCCCGAATATAAGAGCAGAGCATCTGAGGTATGGAATTGATGGAGATGTTTCTTGGTGAAAAGCAGTTATTTCCCTGTGGGCCTTATAAATCTGAAACAGATAAGGGAAATAAAGAAATCAAATTATACAACTTTGATGAATGACAAAATTTGTCAGAAAGAGCTATATATTAAGTAATTAGGTTTTTAAGAATAAAGCATAAATCTCCCATAGATGTGGAAAAGGAAGGAGAGACAGAGATAATCATATTTGAGATACTGGTCTAAACTTGTGCTGGAAAAAATTTTTTTTGTTCTTAT